TAATATCTAATTAGGAATGTATGCATGCATATACAGCATTTTTCGTTTTCCAAACAATCCCTTATCTTTTTGAATAGCTAAAATTCTTGATCAAATACATCATATAATTAATTATATGATGTATAACCCCTGAGGTACATCGCAGGTTAAGAGATGCTATCCTGGAGGTACAAATGAGAGCAGTAGGTAGTGTTGAGATAATATGAGCCATAGAGATGAAAAGGAAAAAAAAACCTATTCTATCTATATCCTGTTACAGTGATGTTCACTCACCGAGAATAATTAATAACATTGCACAGAGTAATTATTTGCTGTGATATAACATATTGTAGCCCTTCAGATTTTGCTTTTGTAGCTATTTAGTGTGCTATTGAAATCTGAAGTAGGATTTGTTGCTTTGGGCACACCATAGCTCTTTCACACTGTTATTAAATAAAATGCCATACGTGTACCTGAAATGCAAAATTACACTGCCTACTCTGCGTGTATCGTGGCTAGGAAGGAGCTGTGAGTGTTATGTCAGCTTGCAGATCCCAACAAGCACACTGTGCTTCCTGTGCCTGTAATGTGTTAATTTATCCTTCTTTTCCCAGACTAGATTTCCTTGCCTGTAATTATCGTTAATCGTCTAATTACCTTGTCTGCAATGAAATATCGGAGGACGTGGGGGTTGTGTCTTTGTTTATATCTCTAATGTGAAGATAAGGTGGAGCAAGTGGTTTGTTCAAGACTTCTGATGACCACATTATAGCCATTTTATCACTTCTGTCAGATTATCTACAGCTAGTCATCAAATATTTTACAATACAAAGTAGATCTAAACACAATCACTTAAATCTCATAAGCGTAATGGAATCATTTAATAGTCTCCAGTCTTTTTTAAATCTGTAGCTTTCATTAAATTAATGTCTGGTAATCCTGCCATGAAGGGTTTTATTCATGCATTTCCTGTTATAGGGTGGCAACTGTCTTCCAATTGTACTCCTGCATTGTTACCCCTGATGGAGAGTACAAGCAACTGAGCTGAAATATTGCTTATGCATGGTCCACCCTGGTCACTCTCTGGAAGTTGGAGCAGATCAATGACATTCAGCCACAGATAATTGTGCTTGTAGACAGGAGGTGACTGAAAAAGGCTGGATGATATCAGCAGTGCCAAGATGGAAATGAGTTTAAAAAGGAAGTACAATGCAGAAAACAGATTATTTGGTACATTCATGTAGGAAGCAGGATCACATTTAGGTGGAATACCATGGTCATCTGCTAAGAAATACAGTGCTGTCTATATCAATAGCTGGGTTTGCATTTATGTTGTTGTTGAGTAGGCTTCCCAAGGCCTTGGAAGGCCAGGGATGTTGGAAGTTAGGTATGTATGAATGAAGAAAGAGAGGGGTGTGGGGGTGATCTACAGGATGAGACCTGGGAACAAGTTCCTTTTTGGCTAAACTTTCAGCTGTCTCTGTGGCCTAGATATTAAGTTGTGAAAAATAAAACCCAATTACGAGACAATGTTCAATCCATGGTGACCATATTTTCTTAAATTTATTTACAATGTCATTTAAATAGCTGTGAAATTTTATTTGCAAAAAAAGTTCTTTGCTTGTGAAATCGTAGAGCTGACCATCAGACTCAGTTTAGAGTTTGTTTTGCTGCTATGAAGAAGGTTAAGTGTGAATTGCATGTTGGTGTATTCCTCTGGCTTCATGTTTAGAAGAGCTTTCAGGTGGGTTTTTGATGATGCTTTTATCTAGTACTTTGAAAGCAGGTTGGTATACCTTGGCCCAATATCTCGCTCAGACAGTCCCACCAAAAAAAATGCCAGAGGGTGCCTTTGGCAGCTCATGCCTTGAAGAGCAAGCATCTTGGGTCTTAGGCTCAAGTCTCCGTGGGACCATGTACCACATTAGAAGTAATTTGCATCTAGCTGAAACAGGCCATGTAAGTGTACATAGGTGAAGTGTGAAGTTGAGAAAAGTCCTAGTGAGGATTACTATATAGTAATTATTTTGCCCTGTCCATGGGGACAGCTGGGGCAGTGGTCTAAAAGAAAGGCTAAACTTTTTGGACAAATGCATGTTTTTTTCCTTGTGAACAGAAAATGTTTTATTTGAAGGTATCAGAGGGTTTCTAAGTTGTGGATTTTATGATTAATTCATAGGCATGGCATTTGTTTAAGATACACAATGGCAGAATTTACTAAAACTGGAGCATACAGAATCTAGAGCAGCTGTGCATAGTAACCAATCAGCTTCTAGCCTCAGCTCGCAAAAAAAAAAAATAAAATTTAGCATAAGCCCCCACTCCTCAGGCATGCGGGCTAGTATCCCCATAGCAAGGGGACAGAGAGCATGTAGTCCCACTTTTGTGTTGATTCCAGATATGTGTCCTTCAGCATTGGGTGTGTGCGCGTTGGAGAGAGGGGGCTCCCTACCAAAGTACCACTGCCTTGAGTGTCAGCAAGTTAAGGGGCGGAAAGCATATTTCCACTATTGCAGTCAAATTTGAGAAAACCCCACTATGTGTTTGTTATGTGTTCCCATTCACATAGTATACTTATTTATTTTATATTTCTTACCTTTTAGATGTTTCTTAGGAGCAAGTGTCATGGGTGTCTGCCATGTTTTTTGAACATGTCATAGTGAGTCTGTCCTATGTCTCTCCTTAATACCAAACAGTGCAATACATTCAGCTTCTACACCTTTAACCCTTTGTTAGGACAGTCAGTGATAGACTCTAGTTACAATTGATAATGAACATCTGCCTGCACAGTACAGAACAGATAGGGTTAATTATGGCAAACATAGCTGCCCAGCCCCTCATAAGCTGCAAATTTGTATTTTTTTAAAGTAGACGTTGGGTCAAAAGCTAACTGAGCTTAAATCTACTCCCATCCCCATTCTAAGGCTATTCTAACTACTCTGTAAAGGAAAGATGTCTATACTTACATATTCTGAAGGCGCTCTAATCCGGCCACATGGTCAACTGTCAGCAGCAGCTTCAGTGTATAGGAGGAACAGCTGATAATGGATGCCTCATAGTAAACCTATGGGTGACGTTACTGCCTGGGCTCTGCAACCTTTGCCAGCCGCTGGGGAGATCATGTGACCGGACTGGAGCACCTTCAGATTAGGCAAGTATACACATCTTTCCTTTACACTTAGTTAGCATAGGGCTCGGCCCAGCAGTTTTAAACCTTTGTGTCTCTCTTCCTGGTGCCAGCATCTTTACTATGGGCACCTAGGTGTGGCAGCTTGAGGCTTCACAGCCAGGTACCCACTGCGCATGTGCAAGCAGCTCTTTGCAACGTGAATGGTCTGGCAGTTTTCTGGGACCTTTCACATGTCGTCCCAGAAGACTGTGGGAGGACTTAGGTGGTCAGAGCAGGAGTGGGAGCAGGTACCTGTCAAAATTGGGTACCCCTCCTTCCCGAAAGCTCCATTTCAAAAACAGGAGTGGGGGACGAGGCCTTAAAGCGGAACTTCCCCTCTTGGGTGGAGCTCTGCTTTAACCAAGCCAAAGCTTTAGGGGTACAGGGAACTGGGTGATTGCCTTGTGTTCCCTGTGACATCACTCAGGCATAATACTATATTAGTTAATGCTTAGATTATATACCAATGTAAGTATGAACTTATATCTCAGCGATTTAAGCACAAAGAAAATCTCTCTGTATAAAAGAGTGTCTGACTAATGGAAATAGCTGGGTGTGGTTTGATACTACACTTAGGGTCCATTGACACCAGCCAGCACTTCATAGTGTATTTGCTGGTGTGCAGTGTTATATCTGCAGCAGAAATTTTTTTTTTAATTTTTTAGTGAACTTTATTGAAATGTCACAGAGACATTTCATAACATCCAGTTGTGAACGCACTACTCTTTTTCAGCACACTGCTGCAACACAGTGGTGTGGATCAGGCACACAGGGGACAAGACATTTTGCCTTGTCATGGTGTAGGACTGTGCTGAAATAACCACCCACCACAAGATCTGTGCAGTAATCCAGTGTGAAACTTTGCCTCTGTGCAGGAGCTTTCTGTAGTAAAGACTGGTCACTTCTACCCTCTCTTCTTGTGCAGTGTGACTGGTCTTGTCTCGGCCTTCCTGTGGTTTTCTTCATGCAGTCGGTAGTGGGTTGGTCTCCTGGATCCCTTCCAACAGTCTTATGTGCAGGCCAGTGATAATGTCACCAGTACTTTATAAGTTAACAATTGAGTTTGAAAAAGCATGTGGTGCACCAAAAGTGGGTTTATATCCTTTGTAGCTATTGATGAATATATTAAAATGAATGTTTTTGAGTCTGAATTTCAGCTTTAAACTTCAAACCTGTACTTTCAGTGCAGTGATTGCTTTGTGGACATGGTAGTAGTAATGTTGGATTAACTATATGGCAGTTGCCATAACTGGAATGTTAGCAGTCCTTTTAGCTTTAGAAACAGAGATTTTTTTTTTTTTTGTTTAACTATGCTTAGTGTTTTTTAATGTTTTTTTGCAGCTAGGTATAGCTTACTGAAAATGAAAAATAACAGTGAAAGATGAGTTCTGATTGGTTGGTTTAGAAACTTTGCCCTACTGACTGAGCCTTAAGTTGTGTCTGCAGCACCTACACATAATGCAGTTAGCAGCTTTAATAAATGAATAAATACTATTCATAAATAAGACAGCATTATTCCTCTTTACATTAGCTATGCCTCTACATATTAAAATAGCTACAGAGCAGTTTCAATTTAATAAAATGAGTTGACACTTTTAATACCTTCAGATTTTTAATACTGCTGAAAAGGCAATTTAACAATTGGGTGCTCAAATATTAGTCAGTTGTTAAATTGTTGCTGAACTATTCCATATGAGTAGGATCTATTACGTGAAAATCAGCAACAAACAAAATGCTGACATCTAATGTAATTTATCTTCATTTTATAGGAAAACATAAAAAAAAATAGAGTTGGAGTAATGCAAAAAAATCAGAGTAATTGTTCACCTTTTTTATGTTTTTTTTTTCTCCTCAGGTGAGTCCACGATCCAGTATGATTCTCCCGCTGCCACCTTGCCTGTGTCCCATCCTGTTGCTTGTACTGGGCTCCTTCCTGTCTGGCTCGGCCTCAGGTTGTCCCCAACGTTGCGAATGCTCTGCTCAGGATCGTTCTGTTTTGTGCCACCGCAAGCGTCACCTCAACGTCCCCGAAGGCATCCCCACTGACACACGACTATTGGACCTCAGCAAAAATAGGATCAAGGCGCTTAACCAGGACGAGTTCTCTTCCTTTCCTTATTTGGAGGAGCTAGAGCTGAGTGAGAATATAGTGTCTTTGATTGAACCTGGCGCCTTCAATAGCCTTTTCAACCTACGATCTTTGGGGCTGCGAAGTAATCGTCTCAAGCTCATTCCTTTAGGTGTATTCACAGGACTCAGTAACCTTACACAACTTGACATCAGTGAAAACAAAATTGTCATATTGCTGGATGACATGTTCCAGGATCTTTATAACCTCAAATCTCTGGAAGTTGGAGATAATGATTTGGTGTATATTTCTCATCGTGCCTTCCGTGGACTCAACAGCCTGGAAGAGCTGACACTGGAAAAGTGTAACCTCACCGTGGTGCCCACAGAGGCTTTGTCACACCTGCATGGTCTCATCTCTTTACGGCTCCGGTACCTTAACATTAATATAATTCGCGACTACTCCTTCAAAAGGCTTTTCCGGCTGAAAAGTTTAGAAGTGGCCCATTGGCCATATTTGGACACAATGACATCCAATAGCCTCTATGGATTAAATTTAACATCTCTTTCTATTACACACAGCAATCTGAGCGCTATACCATATGTGGCAATCAGGCACCTTGTTTATCTTCGCTTTCTTAACCTTTCATACAATCCAATTGCATCTGTGGAGGGATCTATGTTGCATGAGTTGTTGAGGCTTCAGGAGTTCCACCTGGTAGGTGGTCAGCTTTCTATTGTGGAACCCTATGCGTTCCGTGGTCTAAACCATTTACGTGTACTAAATGTTTCCTCCAATCTCCTAAGTACACTGGAAGAATCTTCTTTTCACTCTGTAGGCAACCTAGAAACGTTAATTTTGGATCGTAACCCACTGGCTTGTGACTGCCGTTTAATGTGGATCTTCCGGCGACGCTGGCGTCTCAACTTCAATCGACAGCAGCCATCCTGTTCCAGTCCAGAATATGTTCAGGGAAAGGAGTTCAAAGATTTCCCTGATGTGCTGCAGCCAACTTATTTTTCATGCCGAAAAGCACGCATCCAGGATCGAAGTCCCCAAGTGGTCCATGTAGATGAAGGGCATACAGTACACTTTTTTTGCCGTGCTGATGGAGATCCACCACCTACCATACTGTGGCAGTCCCCACGGAAGACTTTCATTACCAGCAAAAGTAACGGTAGGCTGACTGTATTCCCAGATGGAACTTTGGAAGTACGTTATGCCCAGATCCAAGACAATGGGACTTATCATTGTGTGGCAAGCAATGCAGCTGGTAATGATACTTCACTGGCCCATCTTCATGTGCGCAGTTACTCACCTGACTGGCCTCACCAACCCAACAAGACCTTTGCCTTCATCTCAAACCAGCCGAATGAAAGCGATGTCAACAGCACTCGTGCAACTGTCCCTTTCCCATTTGATATTAAAACTCTTATAATTGCCACCACTATGGGATTCATATCCTTTTTGGGGGTGGTCCTGTTTTGCTTGGTTTTACTATTTCTTTGGAGCAGAGGAAAAGGAAACACTAAACATAACATTGAGATAGAATATGTTCCACGAAAGTCTGATGCTGGACTCTCTACTGCAGATGCTCCTCGCAAGTTTAACATGAAGATGATATGATATTGGTTGATCAGTGGGGGAAAGAAAAGAATAGGGCAATAGGGGCAGGCAGTGGATTGCACGTAGCCTGTTCTTATTCCACCTTTTCTGTTAAGCCCTTACTGGACAAGCTGTATAACTCTGGAGGGAAAGCAATGGCAACAGGAATTCCATAGTCTGTACTTTTTGATCCATGGACTTTGTATGTTTGGGGAATGACCTTTGCACTTTTAACCTTGTGAGTTTAACCTTCAAAACTCCCCCAGATTGCAGAAAGCCCACCTGTTTCATAACAACTATACAGTTGTTGATATGGGGGGGAGGGGCAGGAGGATAGGATTGGGCAAATACAATAATAGAAAAGGAAAATAAAAATCCCCAGTCAAAAACAGGAAAAGCTGAAGGAATGCGAGGCCAACTGACTCTGAAACTAAACTTTGACCTCTGTATCTTCTCCTGATTTCAATACCTGTGATTTTTATGAAAAAAAATAAATATGAATATTATTGAAAAAAAATTAAAGAAAAACTGTAAAACTCCAACAGCAGTGATTTTTTTGCCTAACAACTGATTTATGGCATGTCTTTTTTTTTTTTATAAAGGAGGTTTGTATGTTAATTGTAGGTGCCGAAAAGTCAGTATTGCAGCCAACAAATTCGGCATTGAATGGACACATGAAATCAGTTTGAATGGTTCCAGTTAACATAGTAAAGTAAAAAAAAAACTGCAATTGTAACAACGTACATAATGTAGTAAAATTGTTTTTGATATGGAACCTGACCTTTCAGAAATACCAATTACCAGACACTTAAAGCTGAATTCCAGTCAGCCCCAAAATACAAAGAGTGCTGCTGTACAGTAGACTGTGAAAGGCTGGTGCCAATCAAATTCAGGTACTTATACTAGTTGCATGAAAATATTTGAAATTATTTATTAGTGAATACATGGCTTCATTGTTTTTAATCTTTTATATTTGCCTGGAGTTGAACTTTAACAAAGAACATCATGAATTTGGTTATGTGGACAAAAGGTCAGCATTAAAGTGGCATTAAACCCAAACATTTATTATACTCCAGCTTACCATTTCTTAGGTGTGATGACTGCATTAATTTTTCTGCTTTTAGGCTTTCTTTCTTCTATTTTAATTTGATGATCTGGCCAGTAAGTCTGTAGTTTTTAAAAAAAGCAAGCTCTCCAGCAGAATGTGAAAGTTACAGATATGAGTCAAAGCAAATAACACTAGTATGGGGTGCTTACAACGATCAGCTTTTATTTGTGTAAAGCCTTCATCCCAAAAGGACATTTCTGTTTTCTGTAATTGATTATAAAGTAATAGCTGGATTTGCTCAGTTTGTTAGTGTATTTCAATTTGCTAGTACAGCTAACATTCCCCTTCCCCAGATTGACAATGCTGCTGCACAAAGGTACCCCCTGTGCTCCTTCATCCAGAGTGGGGGCACTCTAATACAGAGGAGGTGTGTTACTGACCAAATCACAAGGTGAACACTGAGGGGAAAAAGCCTAAGAAAAGAAAACTAAAGCAGCCACAACATCTAATAATAAGCAATAATATAGTACACTTTTGGTTTTGAGTTTAATACCACTTTAAAATGGAGGAAGGAGTAAGTGTAGAAGGAAGCAGAGGCTGACAGTGAGGACACAGAAGGTGAAGATATGTTAAAGCGGACTCTAGGCACATTTTTTTCCCTCAACATTCTACAAACAATACCCCATAATGACAATGTGAAAGAAGTTCATTTTTAAATCTTTGCTGCAGTTTATTAAAAAGAAAAAAAAAAAACACATGTACATAAGTATTCACAGCCTTTGCTCAATACTTTGTTGAAGTACCTTTAGCACCAATTACAGCCTTGAGTCGTTATGAGTATGATGCTGCAAGCTTGGCACACCTATTTTTGGGCAATTTCTCCCATTCTTCTTTGCAGTACCTCTCAATGTCCATCAGGTTGAATGGGGAGTGTCGGTGCACAGCCATTTTTAGATCTCTCCAGAGATGTTCAATCGGGTTCAAGTCTGAGCTCTGGCTGGGCCAGGACATTCACAGAGTTGGCCCGTAGCCACTCCTTTGTTATGTGGGCTGAATCAACTGAATTTTCCACCAGATGACTCCAATCAAGTTGTAGAAACATCTCAAGGATGATCAGTGGGAACAGCATGCACCAGAGCTCAATTTTGAGTGTCATGGAAAAGGCTGCGAATACTTATGTACATGTGGTTTTTTTCGTTTCTTATTTTAATAAATTGCAAACATTTCAGAATTTCACGTTGTCATTATGGGGTATTGTTTGTAGAATGTTGAGGGAAAAAATTAATTTAATCCAATTTGGAATAAGGCTGTAACATAACAAAATGTGGCAAAAGTTAAGCGCTGTGAATACTTTCTGGTTGCACTGTATATAAAGTATATATAATATATATTTAAAAAAGAAATAAAATATATATATATATATATATATATATATATATATATATATGTACACACACACATTTTTTAATGTGTTTTCTATTGGGGCTTGTCTTGGTGCACAAAAAAGTGTTTTAATTTACATGTTTGACAGTACATTTACAGTTTTGTTAATATTTATATTTTTTACATTTCAGATATGGCCACTTTACATTAAAGTCATCTTTAGGGCCAATTCACACCAAAACATGGTGCAGGAAAGGCACCTCAAATGTAGATGCATTCATGGACACCAGATCGCATTGTACTGAGGGCCTTACAATTTGGTGCAGCGTGCTTTTTAAAAGCAGTGCATGCACTACTTTTTGTGCAATCCAGAGTGATTTCAGCCCATTCAAATGAACTCCTGTGCGATTCTGGTGTAAATTGGCCCTTAAGGCTCGTTCACACTAGGTTGTTTTGCCAACGCTTGCCAAACGCCCCTATAGTGTTTGGCAAGCGTTGGTCCGGCGTTTGCGGAGCGTTATTAACGCTCTGCAAACACTCCACAAAACGCGGCATGCGCGGTTTAGCGGCGGTTGCTAGGCATTTGCCGAGCGTTATTAACGCCCCACAAACGCCTATAATGCAGTTTGAGTGGTGTTACCGCTCCGCAAACGCCCCGCAAACGCATCGCACCGCAAACGGCTGGGCGTTTGCGGAGCGGCACCATAGACGAGAATAGGAGGCTTCAAAGCCTCCTGACTCGTCCAGAGGCGCCCGTTTTGCCGCGACGCAACGCAAACGCTCCCGTTAGAACAGCACCATGTGCTGTAATGTGCAGAATTGGCAGAGGCGTTTGGGAAGCTGTAAAAACGCTTACCAAATGCCTCTCTGCCGCCTGCACACAAGGCTATGTGAACGTAGCCTTAAAGCTTAACTAATTTGTTATATTACATGGTTTACAATTAAAAAAACAAGTTTGTTAAATAAGGTGAGGCCAATATTCAAATATGTTTCTATTGTGAATTGTAAGGAACAGTGAACACTAATGGGGAGCCATTCACCCTAAGGTCTCGAAATCTTCAGCCCAGAACATACTAAATCTACTGAGACTGTTTTCCCAAAAAAGTGAAAAGCAAACAAATAAAAAATATATACAGCGGGACTGCATTATAAGCACATTGGTAGGGGAAAGTCCTGCAAGTCAGCAGCCGCAGCCAACTACTATGATGCTTACAGCAAAAAATGTATTTAGTGATGTCATTTAGTATGCAAATAAAATACAGACTTATGATTTTCTCACATTTTTACTTTTGAGTAAAGTGGGGAAGGGATAGAATCTCTGCCTGTTTTTGTTTGCAGTCTATGGTACCTTTTTCAACCAGGGACTCTAGGCACTTTGGGGCGCCTTCTGAGTTCTTTGGGGGTGCCTTGGCAAAATGCCTAAAAATTGCCCCAAATTGGCCAACAATTGTGTACAAGCCAGCGTGTAGATCAAGCCTGCTTTTTTGTTACAAAAAGCCACCGGTTTTATTGTTCAGCATTATGACCTTGGGCACCCTGCAGGCCACCTGCCAGCATCCTAACATCCGCTGACATTATTGGTTGATAAGAAGCACATTGCGCACCTGCACAGCATCTTTGTTTGACCCCCTCCCCATCAGCATTGTGATCAGGTTAGCTGTGAGGGGGAGAGAAAATGAGGACAAATATACAGTCATGGCCAAAAAAAAAAATTGGCACCCCTGTATCTCTCTCAGATAATGCACCACTTCGCCCACAAATATTACAAATATTTAGGCATTCTTGTGTTTATTTCTTTTGTTTGTATTGTTATGACACAAAAAAGTGGAGAAACAAAAAGCCAAATCTAGCACATTCCATGCAAAACCCCAAAAATGGACTGGACAAAATTATTGGCACCCTAAATTTAATATTTGGTAGCAGAACCCTTGAAAAAAAATAATCACTCGCTTTGAAATCAATCACTTCCTGTAACCATCAATGAGTTTCTTACACCTCTCTACTGGGATTTTGCCAACTGCTCCAGGTCTCTCAGATTGGAAGGGTTCCTTTTCCCAACTGCTGTTTTGAGATCTCTCCACAGATGCTCTATGGGACTGAGATCTGGACTCATTGCTGGTCAGTTCAGTACTCTCCAGCGCTTTGTCTGAAACCATTACTGGGTGCTTTTTGACATGTGCTTTGAGTCATTGTCCTGCTGAAATCCATGACCTCTGACAGAGACCCAACTTTTTCTGACAATGGGCCCTACATTGCACCCCAAAATTCTTTGGTAGTCTTCAGATTTCATAATTCCATGCACATGGTCAAGACATTCAGTGCCTGAAGCAGCAAGGCAAACCCAAAACATCAGTGATCCTTCGCCATGTTTGACTGTAGGGACTGTTTTCTTTTCTTTGAAGGCCTCATTTTCTGAAAACAGTAGAATGATGGGCTTTACCAAAAAAGCTGTAATTTTGTTTGGTCTGTTCACAGCACATTCTCCCAAAAGGATTTTGGCTTCCTCAGGTAAGTTCTGGGAAACTCCAATATGGCTTTTTTATGTTTCTGTGTTAGCAGACCTGTTGGGTCTCCTACCATAGCATCCCTT